TTACACATACTAGAAAATTGTGCACCCCGTGCATCGCACGGACTCTGTACTAATAAATGACCTTATAATTGTGCACCCCGTGCATCACACGTGTTCACATTTTGGCCTATGACAGGTCACATACTATATATATCCCGTACATTTTTCTTTATTCATTTATATAATTATAAGACTTGATAAATGCCCTTTAATGCAAGCGTAAGCGTCCTGGTCCGGTTTTAACGGATAGATCTTGGTACTTGCCGGTAGAACGCCGGAAACCTGCAAATAACTCTCACACCGGGGGTTGTGTCCGGTGAAGAGCCTCCGATGCTTAAGTCAGTATGTATATTAGTATGCTGAAGTGAAGTATGGAAAAATAGAATGTGTTAAGGGAGAAAGGCTCACACCCTTTATATAGGGGTGAGATACCTGCCCTAATAGCTGCCCGGATAGGGATGAGCTGGCTGCCCAAGTTGCCCGTCCGTACTCTGACCCGCCGCACACATGTCAGAGGTGGCGCGGGACGTTGGGAGCTGTCAGAGGTGGTTATTGCTATCACCCAATACAATGTCGACACGTGTCCTCCCTGCACATGGGGTAAATATTCTCCTGGGATTCCGGCTCTTACGCGCGCTCGTGCTACATGCGCCCATGAATAGGTCGACTGTTGGTTCCTCGAAACGATCGACCTGTTGAGGTCGAATAGGCTGCCCGATAGTGTATTGGTCGAGCGATGGGTCGCTCGATCGTTTGTCTGGTCATGCGATGGATTGGTCGACCACCTGCCTGGTCGATTCCCTGAATGTTAGATCTTCCCGCCTTTTGGCTTGGCTCCCTCTTGGTTTAACCTTCTCGACCGGCCCAGCAGACTGGTTTAGCCTTGTGTATATAATATCCCATATCATATAGGAATTGGCTATTTATAGTAACGTTTTGGATACAAATATCGAGACTTGTGCGGTGCTTTTCTCATAAAGCTACTTTTTGGTGGGCGGCATTGTCAGTGGGTCCCACTTGAATGATAAAAGATCTCGTAGTTCGTGAAAATGGCGTGTAGGCGCCTTGTCACCAGCTTAGGAGGTGGTGACCTCGGTTCATGTTGACCTCGGTTTGCAGCGACTTCGGTCTTCATAGTGCAAGTCGGCTTTTCCTCACATCGGTTGATGCCCAGTTTTGCGGTGTAAACCGGAGTGAGCGGGATTTGGGGTCTACCGCCAATGACGATTAATCGTGGTCTCGGCTAAGTAATCCCGGATTACCGGGTCGGATGATAACAAGAACCATAATCCACCACTTCACGATCAACTAAGACGAGTAGCAAGAACACCTGAAACCTTCTTTAGAAGGGGACAATAAAAAAACTCCATAAAAGAGAATAACAAACAAGACATAGTTAGATAGAAACTACAAAAAATTAAAAAATTAAAGAGAAACAAGAAAAGTCTACAACACGCACCTACCCTAACAATAGAATACCACCTTCCCAGCATCTCATAAGTACACTGCTACGACCATCCGAACCAGCGCACGGGTCAAACCCATAACGATCCAACCCCTAAACCGAGAAAATATAAGAGAACAACAAATCAGAGATCCCAAAACAAAAAACTATATATGAACTTACTCAAGTGCCTAGTCGACTAGTCAAATTTGAAGAGGAAACGAGTCTCAACTCATATCTGAGTTCCCGCAGCCTTCAGTCGGGAGAGAAACGGGCGGCGGGGGTGCGAAAGCAAACAAGCAGCTGACAATGACCATATGAGAGGACCGCCAACACTAGCCCCTCAACTGCGGCACCTGACCACTTACCATCGACCTCCGGGAGAGAGTTGTAACCCAACTCCATCATTGTCAGACCCAAAAGGATCAGTTGAGATCACATGCACAAAATGGGCGACAACTTCAAACGCTTATGCCGACAACTCAATGCCGGAGTGGCTACCCGAGAGGCGGCGGTAACCTACCCCTCTTCCTCGTGTGCAAAGATCTTACCCACGACACAATGCGCAACCTAGGCGTGGTCTCGTGACAAGGAAGAAGAAAGGTGGCTTCGGCGTGCCGGCACCGCTTAGACGGAGCAGCAGCCTTACAGAACTACAGAAGCATAGAGGTGCATGCAATTTCACTATAGAAGTCAATCCACTCAAAATGCATATCCTAAGTAATATTTTTTATTTGTATATTAATTCAATTAGAAAATGTGTGAGAGAGAGTATTTATTATGTAACCAGCACTTTGTCTTTGGCCTTATTTAAATCCTTTCGAGTTTTTTTTAGAGAAACACACTATCTATTTATTCACTCGCCCAAAATCCCCAAGATTCCGTTCAGGTGAGGTTTCCCGGGATCTCCGGCGACGACCACTCTCCCCTCACTTCCTTCGTTTTGCTTGGCCGGTGGTTTTCTCCTGGGTCGGGTCGCTCTATCACGCCGAAAACGCAGCACATTTAGGACTGTAGTCCGAGCACAGGCTGTTTGATGAAATGTCTGAGAAGGGAATCAGCTGAGTTTTATAGCATTTCAGCTAAGCTTCCTTACTTCTCCTTACGGGGAAATGGCTTTTTCACTACTACTCAGAAGGGTTAATCTATTGAGACCAGTTACAAATTCGCTTCTTTCATCACAGTGCAGTAAATTTTTCTCTTCAAAATCCTCACCGTTACCCCGTTACGATAGGGGTCACTCGGTGACCGACAGGCTCCATCTGTCACCCTTATTTTCGGGAGTTTGTAAAGACGATGATATGAAGGACTTCAAGATTGAGGTCGTGGATGATGCCACGTGGCGTGTCTCCTCGGGCTTGGCCGATGCATGGAGAGAGAATGACGAGAAGGAAGCTCTACAAACGAGCTGCGGTTTTACGGATCATGATTATGATGGTATTGATGATTGTGGGGTGACTAAGCCTGTGGACTTGAATAAGAATGAACCTGCTTTTGACGAGATCGAGGACATGAGGATTCATGGGAAACTGTTCTACAAGATCGACAGGGACTCTAGAGAATACGAAGAGTACAAATTCGATTTCCATGGAAGGAAATCTTCGAGGAACGATAAAAATCGAAGAGCAAACAGCCGAGCGGAAGAGAAAACACGGAAGAAGGACTCACCCACAGAAATCAAGAATACAAATAAAGGGAGGCCGAAAGGGTCCTCAATAGGATTTGATGATGAAAAAGCTTTATTCGACAATCTAAATGAAAGAGGAGACTCGTGTTTTGGTAAAAAGCAAAGAACTCTCACTTTCAACCAAATAACGGCCCCCTACCACGAGCCCTTTTGTCTGGATATTTATATTTCAAAGGCTTCGGTTCGAGCATGCGTGATCCACCGAGCCACTAGCAAGGTGGTTGCCGTGTCGCACTCTATTTCGAAAGATATGAAGTTCGATTTGGGGTCGACGAAGAACAGGAGTGCGTGTACGGCTGTGGGGAGATTGTTGGCTCAGAGGGCATTAGAGGATGATATACATAATGTGGTGTACACGCCGAGAAGGGGGGAAAAATTGGAGGGAAAGATTGGGGTTGTTGTCAAGGCTATCGCTGATGGCGGTGTCAATGTGAAGGTGAAGCTCAAGCAAAAGAAATCGGGACGGGGGAAGGGCGCTCGGCCGGGAATTGAAGATAGGCGTTCATTTCAATAGTTACCGATAACGAACTATTGAAGTAATGTAATGTAAAAGAGAGTGTTGTGTAAGAATCTGCTGAATGCTCGTGTGGGAAATTACGACCGTAAGCTCAATGGTTGATGAAAGAATGTGGAACGTCTAATTTTTTGTTTCGGGGCTTGATGTAAGCATTATAAAGGATTATGGTTTTCAAGGGATGCTCGGTTACATAACATTTTGATTTTGTTTAGATTTTTTTAATTTGGTATGGTTAATTTTTGAAAAAAAGTTGTATGGTTAGATGTTAGTGAGATTTGAGTTTATATTAAAATAATATTTAAAATAAAATAATTAAAGGTGATCTCATGTAAAATTAGGAGAGAGGTGATGGGAAATGATGGTTAGTTAAAATTATGTGAATACATAAATGGTTAATTAAGGGTGATGTAATGTATAATAATGATTGAGTGATATTATTTAATCAGATTGATATTGAGTATAGTGAAAATTAAGTTAAAATCTATATATTAATATATAAAGAGACAATGATATTTACTTAAATAGTAAAAAAAATCAGTAAAAAGCCTTTGATTTCCCGCCTAAAAATTCAGATTTACTAAATTGGGTAATTTTTTTTGCTAAAATTTGAAAATTCTACCAAAATTAATGTAATTAATATACAGAATCATTTTGGTCAAATATGGTGGCTATTACCTTTGTTAGTTGCATGATTCAAATTTGAAATATAATATATTTACAAAACTTGTAGGTATTACCTTTATTAGTTGCATGGTTTAAATTTGGTATATAATATAATGAAAGAAAACCAATAGTATTTATATTTAAAAGTAAAAATCACAAAAATAATTACTCATAATTTACGAGTCAATGTTAACTTGGACGTAAACGAAATAGTCAATTATTTATAGTTTAATATATTACACAATAACTTACTGGTCAATATTAACTTAGACGTAAATGAAATAGACAATTATCTATAGTTTAATAAATTGTTTAACTACTTAAGTTTTTACAAAAATAAATTTATTTTAAGTAATTAAACAATATAAATTTCATATTTATACATATTATTCACATAGGTTGTTAAATATATGATAAAATTTTACCAAAATAAATATTTTATGAAATCATCATTGTAGCCAAATCGAATTTCTAAATAAAAATTTTGAAATGACCTTATTTTGAAACAAATATAATATAATTTATTATAAGTTATGTGCACCGCACGAGTTGTGTACAAATTTTAAAATGGTTTTAATGTAATTTGCACAATTTAAACTTTCTATAACATTTTTAATAACTTAATATAGGCAAATTATATTACATATTGATTTCATATTCTTAATTTATAAATACTATTTAATAAAAAAAATTAATTTATAATATTAATGAATATCTTTTACTCGTGCACTGCACGAGACTCATACTAGTAGAGTTAAAAAATAGTGATTGATTAAAAATGATAAGATTATTTTGATAAATTTGTATCCAAAGCCTGCACACATGATTGTGTCCCAACATGAGATATTAAATAAATTATATATATATATATATATATGGACTGGTTCAAATAAAAACTAGTACTGGTGAGAGAACCATATTGAATGCTATTTTTAAATATGTATGATGTTATTTTTAATATCAGATGGTAATATCAATATCATTTTCATAAATGTTAATAGAAATATTGTTCCTAGTTTTTATAAAATACATTTTTGTTAAAATAGCACTAAATCACAATTAATTATAGTACTACGTACAATTAAAAAAAGCAGTTCTCAAGGTGGTGAAAATCATAACTCGAGAGCTTTGTGAGTTAGCCACCAAGACAAACAAACTGTGTAGAGGTAATACAATAAAAGTCCTGAGGTAACACCGAGACATCTGATCCCAACCACCGACCGCGATCGAATATCGAGTCTCGGGACGCGTGTCCGAGCCGTCAAGCGTTAGCCACGAGTAGCAGCCACGCACGACACGAATGCCTCGCAATGCGATCAATGGGACTCGCGCCCAGCGATCCCCACCGAGCATCTGTTTCTGATTTTGTCGAGTGACGAGAGATCGGATCATCTCTATCAATCGAAATTAGAAACATCACAAAGCCTGTGGTTTTTTATGCCATAAGTATCCGATTTTAACTCTAGTGCATTGCGCTTGGGCTTAATCTTTTGTATAATTTAAGATATGTGACTTGCATGAAATACGACGTTCCTATTAGAACCCCAAAAATCTTCATCTGCCTGTCGCATAACTTATCAAATAGTTGTTATCGCACTTTATGGGGGTGAAAAGGTTAACTTATTATTTGGCGGTGTGTAAAACTTATTTCGCCTTCAGAGCGGGGTGAAAGTTATTTCCTCTAGTATTTTTTGTTTTTATTATATAATTATTTTAATACATATGCATATTTAGTTCATTCATTATACATATTTAGATCATCATAGTGCATATTTTGTTCATGTGAGGTCCAATCGTAGATATTAATTTGTGTAGATCAATGACTCATATTAATCAACTGAAATTTACATTAATTCATAAACATTGTATACCTAGATGATATTATTAGTACACATTTAGTACATAAAGATTGTATATTCAATTCGTACCAAATACATATCTAGTTCATATCAAGTAATATTGTTGAATGCATATTTTCTAAATACATAATGTATATACAGTCAACGTCGGAAATCAACGGTCAACGCCGGAAGTTAACAGTCAACATCAATAATCAACTAGCAAATGGTCTAAATAATAAAAAATAATAAATAAAATGTTATATTTTGGCCGCGCATCTTGATCCCTATTTATTGGCTGAGATTGAGTCTCACATACTCACTTTAAGTATGTGGACTCATTTGAATCAATCTCTATGTATATAAAGAGATTATCATCATTGGTTTTAATAGCGACGTATTAATAGAAATAACAAACCAATATGAATGTTATAAATAGCATATATAAGATGTGACAAACATTTTTTTTCACCATAACCGCAATAACAAATGCAAACTTAAAACAAAGTGCGTTAATTACTCGAAAATATAATACACTCAAAATTGAAAAGTTGTTCTTATTCATAATCTCTTGTTCAATAACATGATATTGCACTAATATCTAGTCCCAATTATATTTTTTGACATAACCAGTCACATTTATGTAGGAAAAAAATATACCTTCACTTCTTGCAGACCAAAAGTGTGTTAACTTAGATCCTTTGGTGTATTTTTGGTGAAAAACTTCGAATGACTTTTGTTTTGATCCCCACCATAAATGACAAAAGAATAATGTTCTTCCAAAAATATGCTCGCAAAATGACCAGTTAAAATTGTTATTAGTAGTAAGATTGTGGTATCCGAGGTCGTCATCTTTTGACTGACAATGCAGCGTTAACACTGGAGATTTTGGAGGGAGATTGTTAATGACGGCAACATAGATCCCTTCGCCGAATATACACTTGCTTTCTGAAGTTTGTAAGATATTGACGAACACCAAAACGATGAGGCCAAATATCATCACACTATTTGCCATTGTTGTCATATTTATGTCAAGAGTAATATCTTAACCAAATGGTTCCTTTATACTTGATAGATTGAGCAAAGCAAATATTACTTGTGCTAATGAAGGAAAAAAAATTTCAATAACAAAATCAACATAATTCGTTACATGGTAAAAAAGATTTGGTTATAAGAACAGTGTTACAATCCATCTAAGTTGATCGACGAAATAAAACAAAAATAAATTGAGAAATTATAGCGATAATCACTGTCAATTATGTATGTATGCAAAATCCGTTAAATGCTGACATAAACTCCATTGTTAATATCATTACATGTTCATAATATTTAATGTTATTCTAAAATTAATTTAATTTGTGATACTATTGAGTTTTGATATTGCATGACAACGCAATACAATTAATTTGAAAAATGTTCACAGAAATTACCAACATAAATATTTATGTTGGGATCACCAATGGATTAATATGTATATATATATATATATATATATATATATATATAGAGTTATGATCATATGAGAATAATAGATAACGAAAGAAATGAGAATAATTATACACCTTTGGATCCAATGTATCAATGGCCAAGATTAAGTCAAAACTAAAATATTAGTGTGAAATACATGGTGGCAATTTCGTAAATAAGAATACATTTCAGGGTCAAATATACACATGTAACTATTAAATAAGAACAAAGTGGTAATTACATATTTGCATTTAGATTACATGCGGGCCCCACCTCCACTCCATCAATCTTCCATTCCTCTTTCACATACACATACACCTGCATTAAATTTCGCTCTCATGAGTTCCCCCACCGGAAAATGAAGCTCCCCACCACCTACTGCCACCCGCCGCCATCTCCGACGTCCGAGCAGTTTCGCCGGTCGCCACCAGGGACAGCCGTCGTCCGCCACAAACACGATGATCCACTCAACCGTAGAAAGTCGTTGTCCAGCCTTCGTCCACGCTTCACGCACGCAAGTCGTGTTTATCCTCCGACGAACACCGGCAGAACCAGCTCCACTGTAACCAGCCACCTGCCTTTGTCCTCCATGGCTCCATGGGTGTTTACAACCAGCCTCCTGGCAGATCTCGTCATGGTGCTCGTCACCGCGCAGATGGTGGCGTTGGGCGGAGAGATCTTAAAGGACATAGGTGGTCGATGGAGGCATCTACGGCGACGATGGTGGCTGGAGAATGGCAGAGGAGCGGGAGCGCGTTCTGCTATGTGCGCCAAGCTATGCGACGGCGGTGGAGCAGGAGGCTCCGGCGGCGACCGTGGTGCGGGTATGCTTCGGTGGCGATGACAGTCCCTGTGTGGCGGCGACGGTGGCAGTAACCTGCCGCCGGAATTGATTGTGTGTTAAAAGGGCTTTGGGACCTCCTTTTTAAAATTTGATAATGTTTGAGGATTTATATGCAAATTTAAAAAGTCAACTATTTTTTCAATTGAGTACATGGGTTTAATTTGTAATTTATCAAACCTTAATAA